TTCAGTGTCGTCCGCTCCGGTATTGGTCTATCTAATATATATTGTCCATTTTAAATCTCTTCCATTGCCAGTGTTTATCTAATTTAGATTTGAACTCATTTACATTCTTTGATAAAACTATTTCACTGGGAAGTAGGTTCCATTCGTTTACGACTCTGTAAGTGAAGGAATTTTGTCTTATTGTCTTTAGTGGTCTTAACTTTTCTAATTTATAAATATGTCCTCGGATTTCATGATTTGTAACAGATAATTTGAATAACCTTTCATAGTCAAAATCGTCTATTTTGTGAATAAGTTTAAAAACTTGTATCATATCTCCACGTTGACGTCTGTATTCAAGAGTTGGTAAATTCAAAGCCCTTAATCTTTGTTCATATGTGAGTCCTCTTAGTTCAGGGATGATTCTTGTAGCTCTTCTTTGGGTATTTTCCACTAGTTGTTTATTTTTCTTTGTTACAGGGTAATAAATGATATTTCCATAATCAGTGATTGGTCTTATAAGACCTTTATACAATAACAAAAATTGCTTCTTATCCATGTGAACAAAATTTCTTTTCAGCAACCCGATATGTGCACCATGCTGGTACTAATACATTTCCAGAACACATGATTAAATATCTTGAAAAAGAAGCGTCTCATGGTGCAATTATTGGATCATTTTCGAGGATGGTATGGTAGTATCTCCGTTGAATACAGTTCCAAAGTCAAATTCTAATGAAAGGAGGGTAATTTTGGATTCAAGTTATCCATCCAAAAGATGAAACAGGGGTAAATGATTATGTGTCAAAAGATTGGCATCTTGGAGAAAAAGGTTGATCTTGTTTTTCCTAAGATTTTGTGTCTTTGATTAAGGCAAAAGGTCAGGGTTGTTTAATGTATAAGTTAGATTTAAGGAGATCTTATAGACAAATTAGTATTTGTCCCTCGGCATACAATTTAGTAAGTTTTTGCTTTTAAGAAACACATCTTTTTTATACTGTTCTAGCCATGCGACTTCAGTCATCAGCTCATACTTGTCAGAGAATGAGAAATGCCTTTGTGTTTATGATTTGAAAATGCGGTTTGACCTGTTTAAATTATTTGGATGATTTTGGCGGTGTTGAAAATCAATCATCTGCCAACTGTTACGAGAGTTACGAGCATTGTTTATCAGGAGTGGTATAGAGGAAGCTGTGGATAAAGCATGTCCCCCGTTCAAGTTGGATTTTTGTTAACCGAATACTGAACTGGTTACGTGAATGCTATGCTGATATTAGTAATCAAGTTTTCTTAATTGCTTTAGAAGTCAAAAAAGATTTATGTTGATGGAATGAATATTTGCCAATGTATATTGGAATTTCCTTGATAGATTACGGAGAATGGTCACAGATAGATAGTGTTTTTAGCTCAAATTCTTGTTTAACAGGTTGTGGGAGTATCTTTGGGAATAAGTGTTACTTGTTTAGAAATGTTGACAGTTTTGGTATCATTAAAGTTATGGGGGTCTGAATTACATGATAAAAAGGTTAATATTTTTGTGATAATTTGGCTGTTTGCATTATTTCATTGCATCAGTATATGATTTTCAGTTAAGAGTGTCACATCTCATTTGTGATAGAAACTGTATAGCTGATTGTCTAAGTAGATGGAATTTGGATAGATTGTATGTTTTTGAGTCTTTTAATCAGGTATCTCATATTCCTCAATTGACAGATGTTATTGTCACTGAGGATCATTTTAAGATGGTTCATAATTGGTAACTACTTATTTCAGATTTAGAGATTTTGCGGCAGGAACTTAGACATTCTATTTCATCAGCATTTGCCAAAGGAACTAATAAAAATCTGCAAATACAATGAGAAAGTTTCTTGATGTTTTGTATTTACTTTAGATTACGTTTTTTACCAGCATCCACTTCAACGTTACAGTTATATGCACAATGCCTCAGTAGGACATTCATATCAGCGGATAGCATCTGCAATTATATTTTGGGTGTTAAAACTTTACATTTGTTACTTGGTTATATTATTGATCATATAAATTCTTTTTTTGCTGAATTTATCTTTAAGGAATTAATCGTTTGCATCCTAGGTCTGTAAATCGTGCAGAACCCATCACTTCAGACATTTTACGCAACGTACATGCTTCTTTAGATTTTTCGGACCATGATAATATAGTTTACTGGTGTTTTTTATCATTTGCTTTCTTTATACTTTTTAGTGGCCAGAAAATCTAATTAAGTTACTACAAATTCATCAGATATTGTCAAAGGTAGATATTTAAGCACCACTTGTATCATATATATTTGGTAGTTACAGGATAGTACATTTTAAATGGTCGAAAACCATTCAATTTGGAGAAAGGGAGGTAATTAGTCCATTAATTAGATTGAAAGAATCAGAGTTATGTCCAGTGTATGCTTATGAATTAATGACAGCTCTAAAATTTCATAGACAGAATGATTTATTTTTCTCTTTTAAAGATGGGTCGTATATATCGTATTATCTGTTTCAAAAGAAATTACGTCATTGTATTGAAAATATTGGGTTGAATCCAGATTTATTTTCCACTCATTCATTTAGAAGGGGTTTTGCTACATTAGCTTTTCGTTCTAACATTTCTCCTGAAAGTATAAAATTAATTGGTGACTGGAAATCAGATGCCTTTCGTCATTATTTAGAATTAGGTTGGTCAGATAAAGTACATACTTTATCGAATATGTTTGAGACCACTATTTAATTCAGAAAATTTGATCACTGATATTAAAAATTACTTTTTTTTTTAAATCAATTAATGTACATCTCTTTCATTACAGATGTACGAGTTCACATTCTGAGTGATTCAATTGCCAAATATGTTAAAGGGACATTATTCACTACAGTTTTCCCGTTAAGAGGGTATACTTTGCAAATGATGATAGATCAAATACATACGGATCCTAGTCTTGCTAAAGCTCCGTATATGATTTTACACGTTGGAACCAGCAATATTAACTCGAGAGAAAAGTTTTCAGTTGATGATGTAGTTAGATTAACAAATGAATTACTTAATGTTATTTGGATTCACAACCCTTCTGCACATATCATAGTATCTAGTATTTTACATAGACCTGTTGATTTTGGTGTCACCAATGAAACGGTTAAATAGGTTAATGAAGATTACAACTAAAATGTAAGGAAAGAAATTGTCAGTGTATTAAATCGCATACACCGTTTCTCTTTAAGGGTCGTCCTAAACAGAATCTTTATGCTGTTAGGGATGGGGGACTTCATCTTAATTTTGCTGGAACAGATGTCCTCAAAAGTTTTTTCATGAACACTATATCACATATTGTTAAGGCCAAGTTTGCCATGTAAATTAGATATTGTCATTTTAAGAGGTCAACAGGCGGCGCATACATTATATTAGTTGTATATACTAGTAGTTAAATGTGTTTATATTTCAATTTATTATATTCATATTATTTGAATATTTATTATAAGTGTGGTCTGGCAAATGAATGTTGACATGCAGGCTATCTTAGTCACATGTTTTCAAAGGTTTTAAGGGGTAGTAGTTATGCTCTTGACTTTTGATCTCCTACGTGACATCTTGTCTTTATGTCAGTATGTTAACATTTATTAAAAAATTTTGTTGGTCACCTTGGCTTCAACTGTATGATCAATGTTCTAAACTTATGTTATGACATGTTATTTTTTATACATTTTAGGATTATTTATCAGACAGATATCTTGTAAGTTTATTTAGATTTTTTTTGTTATAATTGTGCTTTTTGAAACTTTTCTCATAATTTATAGTAACTGTGACAGTCAAATATCATTTTCTTATGTCGATGGGACATAATGTCACTTGAAATTTCTTTAGTGCTTGTGTTTGTGGAATGAAAAATTGCTTGTTTGTTTGCTTTGTTTTTTTAATTTTATTTGCTAGCTTTATATCAATTACCTTTTTCGCTGCTTTGTTTTGTTTTTGGCGGAATAGTTGTATTCACTTATGCTTTGCTCATTAATATGACTTACTTTCTATTGTATACTTTGTTTGCATTCTTAGTCATATTATTATTTCTGATTGTTGTATTTCTGACATGTCTGATTCCTCAGTAAAAGTGTTAATATTATTATGCTTCCTTGTTTATAGTCCTTTCTTTTCTTGACTTAAGTCTGGGTTTAACAGAATGGAATGACATAATTTATAGCATTTTCTTCATAGAAAATATTTTAATTACGGATTGGCGTAGGATTTCATATTTAATTAGTGTTGGTGACGCCATTTGTATTTACCTGGGTTAACTGTTTTAGTTCATTGAATTTTTGTATTCCTACGCCTTCTATAAATATTCAACATTGCGCGTAATCCTCACGGTTTTTGTTTGACACGTTTAGTTACCAGTCCTTTCTTTAGTTGTTCTTCAATTAAATTACACTCTTCCCCGACTGTGATTGATCAGAAAATATTAACTCGTATATCAACGGATTTATATTACAATATAAATCCGTGGTATATCATACGTTTTGTAATGATCTGGTAAAAAAGTCTTGTAATCTAGTCTAGGATAGCAGTTCAATTTTTTAAAAGTTCGTATCTAACAAAATAATTCTAAATAGGAAAATGTAAAATAAAATTTAAAAAAAAAAAAAAAAAAAAAAAAAAAAAAATATTCGCTACGCATATGGATTATGGATACCCAGACATGTACTAATGGAAAAACCCTGCACATTGTTTTTAACCGAAAACGCAATTTAGTGATTCATATAAGGTTGTTCTCCTTTGGTAAAAATATATCAAAATGAAAATCAAAGGAAATATAGTCATTTGAAATGATGAGTTTTACAATATGAGTCAGACAGGTCGACAGATGTTACTGTTTATAAATATTATGAACTGATATTAATAATATCTTTTAACTTGTAAACATCAATGACTAAAAGGAAGAAAATAGTGTCCCTTCAAAAGATAAGAATATCTGTTTAATGTTATAGTTACATGATGGTCATTTTGTCATATAAACATGATTTCGTTTCAATGTGTCATCTCTTAGCACAATGCCTAAAATCTGCATTGGTTTCCTTCAAACTTTAAAAGGAATAAGATATATAAGTGATACACGCACTAACATTATTACTTGGTACATACATTGTATAGGAGAAACACATTATGATGACAGCGGTAAATATTTCTCAGAACGGTGAGGAACTTACCCGGCAACTTAAATCACATTTGCTTCCGGTTACAGTGTTTATTTGTGTAGAAGCATGTGTTGGTTTCTTTGGAAACATTGCAATTTTGGTAGTTTATTCAAAACACTACAGGCAAGTGAATTTCAAAAACTTTGTATTAGCTCTGGCTTTTGTAGACCTTGTAAGCTGTTGCACAGCGCTTCCCGGTGAAGTATTTTCTCATCAGAACTGGTATGACTACAAATACACGTGGGTTTGTAAAGTGAAATCTTATTTCAACGCTTACACAGCCTTGGCGTCAGCGTCTATTTTACTCATTCTCGCGATTGACAGATACAGAAAAGTTTGTCATCCGTGTGCCTGGCAAATACCTTTTCATGTGGCTTTCAAGCTTTGCGTGTGTTGCTTGGTGATATCTGCAATTGTATCTACTCCATTGCTTTTATTTTGGGGTACTCAGACGTATTTGTATGACTTCAAAGGGGAAAACGTGACTGTATCAGTTTGCGAGAAATCGGGAGACTATGCGGAGACAATGTATCCACTTTTATTTATAACTGGGGCGTTTCTAGTGCCAATCAGTATAATGATAGTGGTTCTTATGACACTGAACTTTACGATAGCCTGTCGTTTATTTGGTGGAAGCATACGCACTGAAAAGCCAACAATTTCAGAGAAACAATCTTCTAAAAGGACAATACAAATGCAAGAACTATCTACAGACATTCTAAGCACAGATGAAGAATTCACCGACGACTTGAAAGGCGATCCTGAAAAATCTGCAAAAGTCTCTACCATCAAGACACCTTCAGAACAGAAAAATCGTAATTCACCCAGGAAAAGGAGAAGACGACGACCAGAAATTGGCGGATCGTCTAAGTTTCAACGGAAGCATAAAACAATGATCATGTTAATTCTGACGTCAATATTTGCTGTCACGATGGCAACATACATTATATTCATTAGTTTTGTGGCAAAACCAAACGGCATTCTGAAAGAAATGTCAGATAGCACTAAGCCAGTTTTCTTCTTTTTCTGGCGATTGTACTTCGTGAATTCCGTCGTTAATCCGATATTGTATGGATTCATGGATCCCGGTTTCCGGTCTGGGTTCAAGTACTATATGCAAAGAGGCAAGTCATCTGTCACAAGCTTATCACATAGCGATACACACTAAGCTTCATATGGAAATGGTGGAAAATAACATTACTAGCTTTACGGAATTCTTTATTATTTCGTTATTTAGGTAATGGTCATCGCTTTGTGTATACATGTAGGTGAAATAAAATTGTCTATATATTCGTTGATTGAATGTATCGCATGATTAGTTTTATACATGTAGGGGAAATAAAATTGTCTATATATTCGTTGATTGAATGTATCGCATGGTTAGTTTTATACATGTAGGGTAAATAAAAAAATGTCTTTATATTCGTTGATTGAATGAATCGCTATACATCATATACGTAACTAGTAAATGATATAAACATGACTGGTATTAAAGTTTTACACTCAGTGCTTTAGCAAGATTTAAAAAACAAGTTAAAAACAAGTTATGCCTCAGAAAGGAAGATATTTTTCAATCATTAGGAAGGCCAAAAATTCAATTTATAACATTTAAATACATGTCATGGTTTAAGAGCATATTAGATGCTTATCACCTGAAAAAAATAGAGATGTATGTGAAATTGTTCGTCATAAAATGCAAAATGTAGAACAAAGTAGTAATTTGACTTTTATACAAAATAATGAATCACAATATCTATACTAATTGATAGAAAGCGAAAAATCAAAAGAGGAATCACGTAATTGGCCAATGAGTAGATAAAAATAATTACCCCCCCCCCAATAAAAAAAACAAGCAACAAAAAACAAAAACAAACAAACAAAAAAAAACAAAAAAAAAACCCCAAAAAACAAACAACAACAGGACCCACACAAAAAAGCTGTTAAAAAAGATAAAATAAAAATATTTCTCGGGGCAAAAATGGACCTTTAAGCAACCTTTTTATATAAGACTAAGGTACCTTAAATAAAAAAACAGTTACAATTAATTCAATATACTAGTAATAGTTGTATAGGGTAGATAAGGCAGGCGTCATATACATGTCTAAATACATATTTTCATTCAATTGAGTTTACTTTGGCGATCTTGATCTCTTTCCGACATTCTACGGAATGATTCAAACAATGTATCAAAGCCATTTTGTTTTATGACAAACAACTTTTCTTTTTCTTATTCATATATTTATTTATTTTATTACAAATAAACACGATTTCTTTGTATTTGTTAATATATTTGAAATTGTTAATATGATTTCTATCAAATTAAGTCAGTTTCTATTTTAATATTAATTTGTTCAACATATAAAAAATATTTTTTATGAATAAATAGCATACATATTTGTATTTGTACAGTTGTATATCATTATTATCATTACAGAATCTTCTGATATGTTGATTTTACATACAACCTCAAAAGCCAAACAAAGTCAATTAAGTAAAGGTTGCGCTGTACATAAGATGTACTATGATGTATTCATTTATTTTTCTTTATCAAGCGATTGTATGATTTCGAAAATGAAATCAGCAAAAGATAGTCATGTGCTAAAGTCAAACTCATTACAAATAATGAGTATGAATTACTTTAACAATGAAGCTGCAAAAATTGACAATGATGACAAAATCATTGCAAGTAAACAATGCATTACATGAGCATACATTTATGTAAAGAAATTCATAGTTAATACATATCAAACTGTGTTCATCATTCAACACTCGTCATAATGCAATTGATGAAATAAAAGCCAGCTTAATTATATACATAAACGCCATATTCAATCTGTCCCGAACTAAAAATTCAGGTCAAACACGTGTACCGATTGAAGATAAAATATTCTTGTCAAACACGTGTATCGATAATGTTAGATCTGTGATCCATATATTGTTATATTCAAAGTTAACCAATAGGTACACTTTGTCCTGCAAATTGGTTAAACGCCGATAGTTTGTTTAAAGTACATTCGCACGACACATTAATGAGCTGCGGCGCGAGCTCCCATAGAGAGCAAAAAATCAAAAAATGAATCACGTAATTGGCCAATGTGTAGAAAAAAAAATATCTGCCAAATGTTTGCAGTTTGGATCGGAATATCCGTTAAAAAACTAAAACAAGACACACATGCACGTACGTACGCACACATTCTCTCTCACACACACATACACACACCCAGGCACGAACTCAATTACTGTTAAGAAATAAAAACATTTCTCGGGCAAAAAATCGGCCTTTTAGCAACCTTTTATCAATATACTATCATATAAGACCAAGTTATTTTTAATAAAATAATACACAAGGTTATAATCAATTTAATATAATAGATGATAGGGTGGAATATGCAGGCGTCATATACATGTATAAATACATATTTTCATTCAATTAAATTTACTTTGGCACCCTCATCTCTTTCCGACTATCTCCGCGAGGATTCAAGCAATGTATCAAAGTCATTTTGTTTTATGACAAAACATAACTTTTTCTTTATACTTATTCATTTATTTGCTTCATTAGAAATAAACGCGCTTTCTCTGTTTTTGTTAATATATTTGAAATTGTTAATATGTTTTCTATTAAATCAAGTTTGTTTCTGTTAATATATGTAATTTGTTCAACATTTGAAAATATTTTATGAATAAATGTGTATACATATTTGTATTTGTACAGTTGTATATCATTTTAATCATTAAAGAACCTTCTGATATGTTGTTTTCACATGCAACATAAACAGTCAAAACAAAGTCAATTAAGTAAAGGTTGTCCTGTACATAAGAGTGTGATGTATTCATTTATCTTTCTTTATCAAGCGATTGTATGATTAAAAGTTCGAAAATGAAATCAGCAAAAGATAGTTATGTGCTAAAGTTCCAACTTATTACAAATAAGGAGTATGAATTACTTAAACAACGAAGCCGCAAAAATTGACAATGATAACAAAATCATTGCAAGTAAACAATGCATTACATAAGCATACATTTATGTTAAGAAATTCTTAATAATTACATATCAAACTGTGTTCATCATTCAACACTCGTCATAATGCAAATGATGAAATAAAAGCCAGCTTAATTACACACATAAACGCCATATTCAATCTGTACCGAACTATAAATTCAGGTCAAACACGTGTATCGATGGAAGATAAAATATTCAGGTCAAACACGTGTATCTATGGATGATAAAATATTCAGGCCAAACACGTGTATCGATAATGTTAGATCAGTGATCCATATATTGTTATATTCAGAGTCAACCAATAGGTACACTTTGTCCTACAAATTGGTTAAACACCGATAGTTTGTTTATAGTACATTCGCACGAGACATTAATGAGATGTGGCGCGAGCTCCCAGTTGTCAAACACCAGAACTTCACCACCATGTATTATCATATTACAATGTCCGGGCTTCCTGCGAAGCATATTTAAAGAAAACTTTGTTTGTTTGCACTGCCCATGATCTGAAAAAGGATAAAATATCATGAATACACTTTAGTTTAAAAATGCCATCTGTAACTAATGCAACATGTGAATACAGCAAGACAAACGAATTCTGATCATGAAAGCAAGACAAACGAATTCTGATCATGAAAATAATAACTGTTGAAAAGAGAGGGTTGTTTAAATTGGTCAAATCAGACAGGAGAATCAGATGGAAACTTCATGCTCATTTTTTGGATTGTTAAATGTTTATTTTACCTTGGGCTATAAAAACGCAAAAAACACTGAACCATCGCGCATGCGTTAATTGTTGTTTATTTATTTATGCTGCGTTTGATCATTGTTTTTATTGTTTTTGTAATATATGGTGTCATAACATATGCTTGATAGCAAAATAACATCTTAAGACGATGTGTTTCTGTATAGTTTGTCGTTTGAAAGACAATTCGCAATTTCTGTACTCTTTTTTAAAATATATTTTTCTTCTGTTTGATCTTAACCTTTCAATTGTTTATACATTTATCTCGACATTAATATTCACTGTCTCGTTTCTTTTGACGGTACAGACGATTTCGAGATAACAAAAGTCTACTGTAAAATGGGAGTAACGTATTTTGTTCTTACTTTTACCAGCGATCGTAAAGCAAGCGGTATCTCCAGTTTTACAGATGGCCTCATTGATAAATTGCGGGAAACTGTCGTCTGATAGTTTTGTAGTTGTTGCACAAATCGAGCAAAGATGGAGGAACTTATGATCTGGATATAAAGAACCCTTATTTTGACAATATTCCTCTTGACTGTAAGAACCTAGAAAGAAAAATGACAATAGAGGATAAATTCCGAAAATAATGTTTTCATTTTGAAGTATTCAACAAAATAATATTCGAAAACTCCAGGGAATCCAACCATAGCTTGAATGTTCAATATAATTAACATTACATTTATTGCTTATAAGACCTCAGCTCTGCTTTGGCACGTTCATGCAATTATAGCATATGGTACAAGTGAACAGTAATTATAAATCTCATTGGTTATTATGTAATAAACTATGTTTACCATCAGCCTGTCTTTTCACTCGTCTGTTTCCAGCTGCCAGACCAAGCAAAGTTGCGGGATGCAATGTAGTGTTTGCATTTCGCCAAACAGTATCCAAATCCCTTTTCCCTATCAAGATTCCGTTGTTCAACGTGCTGATATTTGAACCCTTTAAATGAATTTTAAATGAAAGAAAAAATGCGTTAAGTTTATTTATATACAGATTTTTGATTTTATTATATCATTAACATATTATGAATGAATTTAATTTTTTGAAATTTTGACTAGATTACATTAATACTGGTGAAACGTATTATGTCTGAAGTTAGTCCTAAGTAGGGATGCCATTAGCACCTAGGACTGCGCTAATGAAAGTAGCCATAGGGAGGTTATCTCTGTGATTTAATTATTCCCTATTGCAAGTGACGTCATAACTCGTAAAGCGATGTATCATTTCCAGACTATGTCATCTCAGACTCATAGTACACTGGACATAGTTATTTTATTAAGGCCTCAAGTCTCTTTCAGATCTTCGTCCGGATCGAGCAGTTGTTGTTCTTTGCCATGTGCTACTGTAGCTCTTAGTTTAATTGATAACAGGTACCTTTCGGATGTTTAGCTCTATGTGCGTGCTCACTCTTAGGCAAACCGATATGAATGTGAACTAATATGATATGTATGATTGTTGTGTAGTGAACTTTGACTAGCTGCACTATTCTGTAATTGATGTAACTGATCTCGTAAATGTCTGTTCATTATTAATCGAAGTGATTGATATATCGCGAGAGCAGGCACTTGAAATATTTCCAACTGACTACTGTTACTTAGCACAATGGTAACAGACAGTGTATTTTTTGCAACTGATTCCAAACCTAATGCACT